AATATACCTACTATTTAGTCTACCTATATTTAAGATTATATTTAATTGAATATAAATATATATTTAAACTGAATATTTACAATTTAATATCTATAGGCAGGCCTGCTTATTATAGCGGATCTGCGACCCTTTATATAACCTATAAGCCCGGAGTGTCTTCTATAAGTAATATATTAGAATCTCACGCATAAAGTAACAGCTCTACTTCTAACTTAGGAGCAGTGCTCGAAGGTTCGGATTACGCCTAAGAAGTCTGCTAGAGAGTTCTTTATATAGGAGGGTACTTTATATCTTACCGATAAGGCGAAAGAGGCGTCTAGTTAAAGGCGATCGTCTTAGCCAAACCCACCTCTATACAATCTCTTGTCTTAACGTCTACATCTAGCACTCTCTATCTTGACTTCGGCTATACTATAATTCTTACGTTTGCTGCTAAGCTCTCGGTCGGAGTAGTAGGATTTGCCGGTCGAGGAAGCTTCGAAGGCACATAGTATAAGGCCCTATACCGATAGTTTCGACACTTAGACTTATTAGGAGCTTATAAAAATTGCCTATTAGGCACCTTGCGTAGTAGGTTTCCGGCCGTTTAGTATATATAAGAAGCCGCGAATAGCGCCGTTTTAGCGCCGGAAAGTAAATAATATAGATAACGGTCTATATAAGGTTACGCAGGCAATTTGGTAGCGTTTTATAGTAGACTGCTTAGTAAGCAACCTCGGTGCCAAGAGGCAGCTAGGGTCGTAGACCTTACTATAATTAGTGCTATAGGTTAGATATCAATTGCTACGCTATACTATAGAAGAATACGACTCGGACGGCTTCTTAACTAACGAGGATATTGTCGCTATCTATAGTAGAATACTAGTAACAACCGCGGCTGTATTAGCCTCCGAAGTAGACTATAATCCACTAGATTTAGCGGTACGCCGAGACGGTGAGACTAAGCGTAAATACTAGCATAGACAGGCTCGTAACAATAGGCTATATAAAGCGCTACGAGAATATCTAAAGGACAAGGAGTAGTTACTAGAAACACACCCTAAAGCTAACTTCTAAGGTGACTTCCGCTTTACTAAGTAATAGGTGTTAGAATTAGCCGATTTGCTAGATATTAGGTCTATTGTATTGCCTTACCGCATACGTTGCGACCCTGTAACAATACTATATATTATATGTAGAAGGCTTAGCAATCCGGGTTATTAAAGGAACCTAAGCCAGACCTTTAGTCGTAGTAAGGGTTAGATTAGTCGTATATTTAATACCGCCTGCACTTAAATAGCAAGGAGGTAAAAGGAGCGATTAGTATAGGACTTCAACCGGCTAAGTAAAGAATACTTATAGCGGATAGCCGTTGCGGTAGCTAGACTAATTGATATAAAGGGTGTCTTTAGTTATATCGATAGCACCTTACGGAAGTGCTATAGGCCGACTTATAACTAGCGGCCGTTCTATAATAGACACAAGCACTTCTATAACCTTAAATATTAAGGCATTGTCCTTCCGGATAGCATAATATTGCTATATAGTCTAGCACCTAGCTCCTACGGTAATATAACGTTAATAATAGAGAGCAAATTTAACGAGATGTAAAAGTCGTATTTCGAGGTACCTAGATAGCTATAACGACCCTTCGAAGAACGGGTATTCTTATATAGTAACTAGGCATATAATGTGGTCGATAGCGTTATAGGAAGCTAGAAGACCGTAAATAGCGAGTTTCGTAATGCTAGCGAGGCTACGGCGGCTAAGGAAATAAGTGCTATACGGCAGTCGGTAGAATAGGGGTTTGCTAAGGTAGTTAATAACTTCGAGTTAATAAAGTACTTCTATAGCCTACGAGTCGAGTTAATGCCGGTCGGAGCTATATATTTAGTCGTAACACTGCTTACTAATTGCCTAACTTGTTATCGTAGAAACAAGATTAGCCGCCTATACAAAACTAGGCCGCCGAGTGTGTATAAGTACCTCGCTAATCTACCGCCGCTACTACTACCTCTAGTAGCTTAACTAGCCGACGGTAACCTTCTACGCTATAGTAGGGATTTTGGAGCGGGTTTCTATATAGGTAAAGAGGCGCTCGATAGCGGTATTTCGTTTAGATATAGTCGTACGGTCGTACTAGAGCATCAGACTAATAAGATTAAGGTTGTTAATATAACAGATATAGATTGAATAATAATAGAAGATAGTAGAACTATTGAAAACAGGTATACCCGTACTAGCGCGTAGTATACCGCAGATAATGCTATACGACCTTAAATACAATAATAACATTACTATTTTTCTAACCTATTACTAGCCCTATAATCTTTAGTATGCGGTGCGTTAAATAATCTAAAAAAGAACGAAAACGACCTATACGTTGTCGCGTAGTAAATCGCAGAAGATTGAAGCCCGCTTACTAAGCGAGTAAAGGTCGGCTTTCCGCCTCACTTCGAGCTATATACTACGATATACACTATATTTTACGCCGCCCTCTTAGCGATCGAAAGCGCGTTCTACGACCGAGTTTAAACCCTGCGATTTGTATAGAAAACAACGGTCTTAGCACTCTCGTACCGAACGAGACTACGATTTCGAAGAGGTAGCTATAAAAGAAGGATACCAACTAAGTAATTACAACATACGATAACAAGATAGACTATAGTTGCTTTACCCTAATACTAATACCGACCTAATATATTAAATTATCTACGAGAATATCTTATCGTCGAGGGTATTAAAGTCTACGAAGCCGTCGCTATCGTCGTCGTTGTCTATCGAGTCCGTTTAACTACCTATAACAATGTTATTAGAAGGAAGCTCTATTTAAGACAATAGTAACGGCCTTAACGGCAACGAAGCAGTTATCGTCGCCTATAGGGCTTAAATACTAGATTAGACAGCATTAAGTTAACGTACTATCTTTAATTTAACCTCTTTTACCGCCGCGCCTATTACGGCGCTTAAATCGCCTCCGGCGCTTACAAATCTAGCAGGACTTAGTGTATTCGGCGCCTCGCTAGCGGCGCTAATAATAGAGACACTTAAAGACTTAAATAGCGACCTAATTCTACGTCTTAAGCTACGGCCTTTAGCTAGTGTCCTTAGTATATTAAATATAGGCGATAGTACCTCTTTAAGTATAGCTCCTTAAGCCTGCGACCCTCTCTAAAGCCGTTTAAACTCGAAGTCTAAGCGACGACGCTTAGTAAGCTAAGTAGTGTTACTATCGGCCGTACTTAGCGTAGATAAGTCGATAACTTCTACTCTCTAGATAGGCGTTATTAGAGCTACCGCTAGAGCCGCCGCTAGAGCCGCCGCTAGAGCCGCCGCTAAAGCCGCCGCTAAAGCCGCCGCTAGAGTCTAGTTATTGCGCTAAGATAGCGTCGATAGCATAGCGTTACGTATGTTCTTAGCAGGGTAGTTAAATGCCCTTAATTCCTTAGTATTTAATACCTTCTTACGCTATACCTTATCTAGTCGAAACAGTGTCTCTATAGCCTAGTTAAGAAGCTAGTCTTAAAGAGTCTCTGCAACAACCACACCGGAAGCCGCTTCTAACGGTCTTCTAGTAACAACTCGGCGCTTAATTATAGCCCGATAAGCCCTTACTAGATTACCGAGTGTTAGCTTACCTGTCGGCTAACTAGTAAGAACAATAGCCTTAAAGCTGTTATTCCACTTACGCACCTTGCTAGTTACTCGTTTATAGGCTGTTATAGTACTAACCTTAGTAAGGGTAAGCTCGCCGTCCGAAGAGACATAGCTATTACTATTAACTCGGATATTGCTATGCTCCTTAGCGATAGAAGCGGCAATAATCTCGTCTTAAGAAGGTCTAGAGTTAACTAAGGTTTGGCTATTAGTTTAACTGTCGGATAGAGCGCTAATTAGTATAGCAACTAGCGCTAGAATTAGCGTAGAAACAGACGCCGTAACTAGCGTAGAAACTGGCTAGATTAGCGTAGAAACTAGCTAGATTAGCGTTGAAACTAGCTAGATTAGCGTTAAAACAGGCCCTTAAGATAGCGTAGAAACAGACTTAATTAGTATAGAAACAGGCCTATTAACTAGACTAGCTACTAAGTAATAAGTTAGACTGTATAGTGCTAGTTAACTATAATAGTTACGGAAGGTAGCAAGTAGTGTATATAGACCTAAGCGAGGGTATAAATCGCTCCGCGAGAAGTCGAAACCTAGATTAAGGAGGGCGGTAATACTAGGTAGGGTATGTATTAGGGTTACTAGAGCCGCTATAATACTTAGAAGGGCTAGTTTGCTAACAAACACGGTAGTCTAGGCATCTATAGTGCTCTTAGAAGCCTAATATATGCCTCTCTCGAAGTACGGACTAGTTCTAATTACAATTACTCTCTACCGAGGTCTCTATAGCTATTCCTATAACGGCTCTTAGAGTAATTATATATAGGCTACTAAACCTATATAACCCTTAGCAGCCGCCTAGCGACCTTTACCTACCTCTTGCTAGACTTACCGTCTTTATATACATATATAAGGAGTGTATAGTAGCTAGCAGGTAATAGCTACTATACTAGAAAACTAAATTTAATAGAAGGCGGAGATAGGGTTTAAGCGATTTAGCTAAGGATTTAGCACACTCCTTTACTTAACTACTAACGGCCTAGCGCAGGGTCTAATTAGCGTATTTTCCTTTATATAAGGGTGCACGGTTAACTGTACGAGCTCGTATAGTTACCTATGCTTTTATTTACTTAATCCTTTACGTACGGATAACTATACGGAGCCTATTCACATATTGAGGCGCTAAGGGGTGCTACTGCCGCGTGCACGGAGCGCAACTGCCCTTCTAAACCTACTGCGCAAGGTGCCTATTATTCTCACGAAGAATGATAATATGATACTTCCGGAGTGCTGCCCCGGAGAGTTTGGACGTGGCAGGCAATGAACAAGGTTCATTATTACCGAGGAAGTGGAGCTCCCTCCCTCCCACCTTGACCTCACCTCTTTCAACAAGCTTGTGTATACCAGTGTACAATACCAAAACGGCTTCAAAATCAGCCAACAGTCCCTCCAAGACATCAACAGCAAGGAATCAGACATCATGGCTACCCAACTCGGTCTCCGCCTCCCACTCGTCAAGGTAAGCAAACCAACCCAGCCCAAGAACCCAACCCCTATCCATCATCACTAATTCCATACCCCAATCTAGCCCGTCGTAGCCCTCGCAGGCTGGACATTCTTCATGGAAGCCTGGATGTACGCAACCCGCATCCCAGCGATAACAAAATACAACGTCAACGTCGACGATCCCACGCAATGCAGCCAGGACATGCAAACCAAAATCCCGCAATCGATCAAGAACATCGCCGACAATTTCAACCATTTGCACGAACAGCCACAAGTCTTTTACGCGGTTGCGCTTTCTTTGACTCTGCTGGGAGACAATCACCCGTATACTGAGTATGCGGCTTGGGGATATGTCGGGGTCAGGATTGTGCATAGTTTGTTTCAGAGCTTGGTTAATAGGATTATGACTCGTTTTCAGCTGTTTGCTACGAGTTCGCTGGTTCTTGCGGGTTTGACTGGGAGGGCTGCTCAGCTTGCTTTTTAGATGGGCTTGGGATGAGGGTGAGGAATGTGAGGTCAGAATGTCAGGGTTGATCACAGTGTATGTATGGAGATAGACAGGCTCAATGATTCTCTCCTCCGAGCGCGATGGTAACTTTGGGGGCTTACGGCCTGCCACGTGATGCATAGAACGCGATCCAGACTACTGAGCACTGAACGGAGAAGATCGTAGCAGCACGCATTCATCAGCAGGCTGTTTTTGCCTGACGCGAGTTTCACCTCAATATATTGGTGTTCATACATGAGAAATGCTATATTCCCATACTGGGCGAAGCTGTGGTCCCATTATCTTCAGTGCTGTGCCCGCGGCTTACGTATGGCCCACATTGACCTTGATGCCGAACTGTCCAACTCTTCTCTTTCCGCTGGCAAAGGCATAGTGTGTATGTGCCTTCTGGAACCCTCTCAGCATGTAACCTGGCTTCTTACTGTTCGCACCTCTTCTCGCCATCTTCTTCGCCGATCTGTTGGCCGTCAGACGCTTGGTTAAACGACCGGCCGCTTCAATCTGAATACTGCTGACTTGGCTCAAGCGCAGACTTTCAAGTATTGATGTTGCATTGTGCTTTGCAGCGTTCTGCATCGTGAAGTCGGTCCAATTGAAGCGCGTAGGCTGCCGCGTGAACTTCGCATTGTTGATCTCTTCAACTTGTTGCGCTGTGGGAAGCGCGACTCTCCACGTTGCGTCTCTAATGACGCGTCGAGGAGTGAATCGTCGGTCTTTCAGTCGCTGTGCCACAAATTGGGATAATATGTCTGCATCCAGGTGTGGCCGCTTGATTTCTACCAGCTGCAAGTCCACACGCTTGCCGTAAATTCGTTCGATAAGACTTGTGAGAGGCGCCTTGATTTCTGGGTCCAAAAGCAGATCTACCTGCCTTTCCCCATTCTTTCCCGATGTCTGATTCTCTCCATCTTTGGTTTGACCTGGTCTTGCCCTGAATCTGGCTCTAGCTTCCTCTGCCTCTTTCTCCGCCGCACCGCAATCCCATAAAAAGGCCCTCACTTGCACCCAGTCACCGTAGTCTTTGATCTTCGGCTTGGACACATAGACTTTGGCTGAACCTTTCCGTCTCAATGCTAGGGCCGTTCGTATTCGTCGTATGTCTTTGCCAGTATTATCGACTCTCTTCGCGGTAATGTAGTTTGCGATGAGCTTTTCCAAATTGGCTGTCGCCGACGCTATTGACTTTATGCCCTGCTTGTTGAATGTGTACATTGATGTCTGCCATTCCATCGCGCCTGTGACAGACTGGCCGATCTTGGTCTGAGGCTCCATGCGGCCTCGCCATAAAGGAGCATTGTCTTTCGTGAGCGCGGGGACCGAGGTTGATGCCAGTTGCCGCTGCCTTAGCACTTTCGCATGTGATGAGAGAGTCCCTCGCGGGACGGACATGACTCTGGGCGGCATCTTGCGAGATGCGACCACAATATGGTCGGTGGTCGACGGTGTTCAGGCGCTCTACTGTAGCTTCCAAGTCTCGCCGCGGGAATGCCAAGACTCGAGGCTGACCTCACCACTCTTCGCTCCAGGCAGCCTCCCTCCCTCACTCCACTGTATCAGGCATGCTGTTTTCCTCGTCACCTGAATTACCGAGAGCGTCTCAGCAGTACGCGTCTCATCACAACTGCCGCAGACTCATTTGCTGATGCCTCGAGGACACAAAAAGTCAGCCAACAAGTTAAGTAAATACTGAAGCAGCAGCCAGGTTCACCTTCGTGGTACTCTTCAACCAGGATAGATCATGCTTCAACAGCGACGTCCACAACCGCGAATCATAATTTTACTCTCTGGGGCATGATCAAATCGAACCCCATTTGAATCTAGTCGAGACACCTCATCGTACTGCCTCAGACATTTTAGTCTTGACGAGCTATGGACGAAACGCAACAATCGCTATCGTTTCTCGACTTGAATGACGATGTCCTTGCAGAGGTGTGCGAAGCAGTCGTTCAGCTGTCAAGATCGGATCCACCGTCTCGATTCACAGAGAACGGCAAGCCCACTCTCCTCCAGGCATTTTCAATGACGTGTCGACGACTGCGACGGATTGCGGCATCCCGCTTATTCTATGGCATCAAGATCGGGCCCCACGGGTGGGATCTAGTCCGAGTCGGTGACTCAATAGGTCCTCTTGGACTATGTCCCTATACCCGAGCATATACAAAGCGTCTGCACTTCGAGCTATTCCCCGAAAACTCACCAACCGGCAGAGACTGCCGTCTCCCCGCAAGAATCGCTGAAATTTTCATCAATCTCAGGAGACTCGAACGGCTCACATTCAGCGTGCCCGAATGTCAAAATACCAGCGCCAGATTTAAGAAGATATTTATGGGCAACAATCTTCAATTGCCAAGTGTGGAGTCCTTGCATCTCCCGAACGGCAGCCATTGGATTATCAATTGTTGTCCGAACCTGACTACCCTTCGGCTTGGGCCCACTGGTAAAGTGCTACTTGGAACGATCATTGAGGACAGCAGCCACATCCTAGTACATCTGCAACATTTCGAAATAGCCGCTCACTGGGACACTGAGCTTCTGAGACCCATCTTGAAAATTATGCCGAATCTGCGCACATTGGCGATGGCAAGAGGCGCTCTCCACTATCGGGAGAGTATTGAAGACATGGTGCCTGTTCTGGCACGTTTCTCAAAAATGAAGACACTTGTGCTTGCCAGTGTGGCCAATCTGAGAGTTGGTTTCAGCGTCCCATATGGCGGGGGAGCTTATAATGGGCACAGTCGAGTTGGTCCACTGGGCAAAGACATACCAGAAGAACGACTGAAAGCCATTCATTTTGTGGCAGATCTGGTCTTCACGGGATGTCCTGATCTACAAGAACTTTGGATTGGGGAGTTCTATAAAGCTATGCGCAGCAAGGCCAAAGAAGGCAACAATGCTCTGATTGAGATATCTGAGGCTAGGCGAGCATGGCCGCCGATAGGATGACATTCCAGAGCAGGATGCGGTATCATTCTTGGCTGCCGCCACGCGCTTCACGAACAAGAATAGCTCTGCTCAATCGATTTTTCATAGGGTAACAGCTACCTCCGCCTCTAGCGGAACGCTGTGAAGCGCCCCTGTCGAAGAGCGATGCCACCAACTCAACCAAAGTCAGTGGCATCATCGCGATGCACGTATGGTCCAATGATCGACCTTCTCTTAAGCAGCCCGGTAGATAGCCGGGACACGACAAACTTTCATAGAGTGAAGGCCGTTCATCCTGAAACTCAGCACTAAGTTGCACTCGTTTCTCTCTCTTCGGCACTCATGATACCTCAAAGCATTCCGACTAGCCCCAACATCCGCCAAACAAGGATTCACGCAAGCAATCACCGCAGTCTCACACTCCCTCTCTCCCTGCGACTCAAACACATGCTTCAGGACTTTCGTCAACATACTCCTTCTCACAGGAATGAAAGCCTTGCCCTCAGCTTTTCCCCGGATACAATCCTTCAAAGCCGACAAGCTCACATTAATCTCTTTCGTCTCCCGCATGCGTTCCGCACCATGTTCTGCAATATCTCTAGCGGCTTCCGAACCAGCGAGGTCGATGAGATAAAGAATGCCCCCGGATTATGGGATGCGAACGCGGAAGATACTGTGAGATCGGGATGAAGCATCACTTTTGAGCGTTGATGCTGTGCGACGGTATACTGCTGCTTCTGCGAGTAGAGCCAACATTTCCTCTTTCGAAGACACCGTATGTTCCGTCCCACCAGCCAGAACCGTATTTCCAAATTCATCCTCCAAAATAGAAAATCTCTTCTGTGCGTTCAGAAGATCATACGCGATATTCCCCGCCAAATCGAAAATCGTAATTCGAACTTCTTGCATCTTTTTGTCGAGCAAAGTTTTCGCCACGAGTTCCTGAATCTGACTGATCGTATACGTCTTTCCCGAACCAGTCTGGCCATAAGCAAAAAGTGTCCCGATCCCGCCATGTTCGGCAAATTTGACCAATGGTGCAACGACTTCAGTGTATATATCTATTCGGTGCTAGACGCCGATCCAAACGCTCTGTCGACCTCGTATTTATAAGACTAGACATTCAAGTCAGTCACATCGATCGCTATCACTCACATGCCCCGGCTTCTCAGCATACCTACCTTCAAAAACGGTCGCCTAGTAGGGTGATGGTACAAATCATGAACATCTAAAATTCGTGCCTCGTCTTCCAACAGTCGTGGAAAAATCGCGGAGGGGAATCCTGTGGCGAGCTCTTCCTCTAGCATTGGTCGAATTCTTACGACTGTTGAAACCTATGAATCAGAATTTGTCGTCGATGCAGGGGTCTGGGAAGTAATTGTGGCTTTTGCGGTGTGTCGGTTGAAATGTGCTGCTGGAGTTGTTGGATGGAAGGTGGTGACTAGATCTCGATATAGCGGGGCATTTTTTAGGTAGAACGCGTCCATTCTTGATAGCATAAGAGATGTTTCTGTCGTGTCTCTAGAATTAAAGTCAGACTTTTTTTCGGGCTGAGAAACTGCTGGGCGGGTTGCTATCAAGAGAAGACATACCTTATCACCGAAATCCTGATGCCTGAAATTGAGAATGATTGCCTGACCAACCACCCCCTGAGGATCTTTCGAACCCCTACAATTGAAGATGAAAAATTCTCGAAATTGAGAATCGCATGTGCGAGAATCTGAGTAAGATTTTGTAATGGCACTACCTATCTGTCTCCAGGTCCAGTCCCGCTGTAGCCCTTGAGATTCTCGCACGGTACATTGTTTCGCTCGATGAAGGAATTGTCCATCCTGTATCCCCAAGCGTTCAAAGTCGCAGATTGCGGATAGTATGGCGGTACGAGTTTGACTGTGCCTTTAACCGGTACAGGCGCAAATTTGCCTTGCGTGACACTAGTGTTGAAAAGACTTATGTAGTTGTCGCAAGCGCTGCCTTTGGAGCCGAAGCTCGGCTGGTTCGTGATATTGACGAATCTGGATTGGTATTAGACAAAAATTGCGTATGAGAGAACACAGGGAGTTACATACACATGCTGTGAGTAGGGAATCTTGGACACGGTCTGGAAGTGCGTGTCGAATTTCGGGCTTGATCCAAGCGCTCTGGTTCCAGGGGCTTTATAGACTGTCAAGTATGTCTTGTCCTTGCTTCCATCGCTTGCATAGGCATTGCAATTAGGATCGAAATTTCCCGGATATGTCTCTCCATACATGACACTGCCGGCGAGCGCAATGGCGTTTGTAGCGGTGATGAGCTGAGGCGCCGAATACACAAAGCTCGAGTAACCGTCATTGATCCGGTCTACAAATGGATATTTCAATGCCGCTCGCTGAAAGTCTGGGATCCTGATCAAAGCGCCCATTCCGACATCGTGATCTAGAAGTCCTTGGAAGACTGCTGGGTACATGTTCTTTGGGAATCCTGGAATCAGCTCTTCGTAGGCCTTGGTTAGGATGCCATACTGGGAAGGTATGACGCTTCTAGCGACGCTGTATGGTATCGGCACTATTGCTGTGGTGCCGTTGATTGTGCCTGTAACCTCGTTTGGGTACGTATTTCGGATTGGATTGGGCTGAGACTCGCTGATGCAGAGTATATTTAGATCACTGGTCTCAGCCGAGGCAAGGCTCGCCAAAAGCGCGATTGAGAGTAGTAGGAGATTCATATTGATTGAAGGAGAGTCGAGTTCGAAATGGTACAGCGTGAGGACTTACTTGCAAGCTTACGGCCTCTTGTGTGCTTCTGTCGTTGTACTGTGTTGTCCTAGTTTGGATGGCATTTGCAGCCGGCGTCGATTGACTTTCCTGGGGTGTTGCTGTCCCATCCGCGATTTTCAGCCACTTCTCTCATTGTACCATCCGCAGCTGAATTGGAGGCAAACAACGCTCGCTCGCGTGTAACTCCACAAAACCGGAGATGTGCTCGGCGCGAGCAGGATCTAGAGTGTGAGGGGAAGACCTTCGAGGCCTTCTACGATGTTTTCCACATGGATCTCTCTACCAATATCGGTTCGAACAGAAGTCGGAACCAGACGGACAGAGTATAATGCCGGCCGCGAGCGGCGTGAAAGCGGTCAGCCGCGTGCATTACCTCGATGGACGCTTCCGGGCTTCGAGAACATGGTTTTACGGCGTTGATGACTGTGCCTCATCCAATCAGGAGATGGGCGAAGAGAATCAGAATGTGTCGAAGACGACGGCGGGAGAAGAGCTGCGGTTAAATGCCTAGAATCGCACAGATGCTTGCTTTGGAGGGTTGTGGGGACATGTCATAGTGCAAGTGGCTGGCTCATGGGTACGGTGGGTGGTGGTGAAACCGTGAAAGGCTGTTCGTCTGTTCGTCTTGTGGTGACTAAGCAATCTGAAACATAAAATCAAGTAAGGCTTCTCATCATCGACAGTGATTGTCCCCCGAGGTCCCCGAGCTAGCGGCGGATCTTTCCGAGCGAATCATATTTCAGTCGCCACGCTTGCAAGCCGCAGTGTTATACAGAGCAGGATGAAGACGCATAAGCATATTGTGGGTCATATATGTACTTTCGAGTCGTAAGAGGAGTTGGAGATAGTGTGATTTGTATATTAGTGTTCCGGTGACTAAGCAATCAGAAATATAATTTTCCAAGACAGCTCATTGTCCCCCGAGGTCCCCGAGCTAGCGGCGGATCTGTCCGAGCGAATCATATTCCCGTCGCGTTGGCAACTGTGAAGCTCGCAATGCTCTCGAGACGTCTAAAATCACGAGAGAAATGTAACCTCCACTTGCCAGCCTACGCCATTGCTAGCCAGCCTTAATGCAGCTTGCACCAACACGACGTCCACGTTGCCTCACATCAACACCCGAGTGTTGTCATCTCACCATTGATGCTCTGCTTGTCGGCAACGAGATCAGAAAGATCACGGTCCATCGAGCAGACGGCGGAACACTGCAAACTATGGAGACTACTGCAGAGTGACGAAGGAAGATCTTCAATTAAAGAGCGTGACACCCTGCAATGGACGGCTTGCTATCATAAATCATATGCTATCTGTTTGCCCTTCCGGTGCATCAAAGGCGAAGGACGCAATCATGATCCACTCCAGCCTTCACTACGGAGAGCCAGCCACTACTGTCCGCACATAAAACATCGGTCCCCACTGGCCTGAACGATAGAGCCACGTCCATTAGAAGAGAACAGCAGCAATCATGAATGTGCACGACATTTCATTCGCCTTGCCTCCACCCCCGGGAGACGAGTCCGCCGTGCAGCTGAATATACGCCATAACGCTGCGACGAAGAGCGCTCCCTGGAAAACGATCACAATTGGAGAACTCGATAACTTGAAGAGCACGATCCAAGCTCATCTGGACACGTGCTCAACTTCGCCTACACGAACATTGCAGCTACAAGATGAAATTCTCGGGCCTGGGCCAGAGACCCTGGAAGGACTGGTCAGCATTATCGAGCAGAAAAGTGTGCTGGTTGGAGGACCGGTCAACTCACTTGACGTGATTGTATACGACCATGACCCGATGCCTGCACCGCTCCCAGATCCCCAGGGCCGACGGAAAGAGAAGAATTCCTGTTGTGCGATGATGTGAGCTGGACAAGGCGCATTTGAGACACACACCGAGTTGTTGACAATTTCTTCACGGCTGTGCAACAAAATCTACAGACAATAGGGATTGCTATAATAAGCCATCTGATGCTCTTGGGTCGTTGATCAAAGACATCCTCTGGAATCGAGTTCCTGCCAATTGTATCTGCACTATCCCGCGGAAGCTGTAATTATCTTTTCGGCCATCGTGACCAGGTTTTCAGCCATGACTTCGACTTCACCGAAAGCTTCAGTCACCGCTTCCTTCTCCCATGCGGAACACCAAGCCGCCTTGAACCTATTGCGAGGTCAGCACGATAGTTGTCAGCACGCATATTCGAGACACGTACCCACACTTCCGCGCCGCTGTGGTATCCCACATATGACAAGCCGCAAACCATTTCTCATCCGCATCCGGGAACTTCGATAACATGAACTCATACACTCCCAGCTGGGGCTTCGTCACTGCACCACCACGGATCTCCTCGCATGGAACGAAGCGATCATTGGGTATCTCAATGCCACCCTCCTCCAAATATTTCTGCACCCTCACCCGATCTCCGGATGTACATGCCCAGACTTCAAAGCCAGCTTGCCTCAACTTTTGCATGCATTCATGCACACCATTCCTCGCTCTAAGTCTCCCATAGCTGCTTGCAATGTATTCTGCATCTTCATCGGAGCAGAAGGCTTTAGGAGATTCTATGCCGGACATGGCCAGAAATCGATAAATGAAAGGCTTCAAAAGCTCCATAAACCTCCCAGAACGTCCCGATGCTCTGAGGAACATGCATTCTCGTTCGGTGTCGGCGAGCCATAGCATGCCTAGGAGACGTGGTGGAATACTATGACTTCTTAGTTTGTTGCCGAGTCGTTCCTCTAGAGCATCGAAAAAAGCATCGTAGCTGACGCAGGTACCGACAATGTCGAAGACTATGTGTTTCCTCTTTTCACTACCCATCATGTTTCCGATTTTTGCTGTCGATCTGAGCAGAGTTTCAGAGACGATCAGGTGATCGTTCCACAACAGGAGTGAAGACTAACATGGTAGTGGTAGTTCCATCAGAGTTGGCCGTCTTGCCCGAGGCCCGGGCCGATGGACGTTGCAAGCATGTATCTGGATGTGGTAGCGATCAATCTATATCGATAAGCATGCGTAGGCGAAGCCGAGAATGCAACGAAGCCTCTCGATATTGAAATGCCAAGTCTTTGTTCTTGATGAATCTACCGGTAGTTTGGCGAACACGGAACCACAATGCCACATCGAACACCGCCCTGTCAACTTCCTGTTTCTGGGGCGACCACTCCATTCTGGCGCACAGAATTGCACGAACTCGACAGTTTCAGATCGACAGAAGAGCTACCAGCTGAATGCGATATCGTAGTCATTGGTGCAGGGTACGCTGGGGTCTCGACGATCCATCATCTACTCAAGCAGGGCGGCACGGCTCCCCAGATCGTATTACTCGAAGCCAGACAAGCTTGTTCTGGAGCTTCAGGGCGCAATGGTGAAATTTCGGGTCATAGTCAGCTGTTGAGAAAGTTGCTAATGGTATGCAATAGGAGGACAAGTCAAACCTGACGTCTACTACAACATCCTTAAATACACCCACAAATACGGAGCAGAGCAAGCCGCCTCATTCGCGAAATTCGAAGCAAGAAATGTCCTAGCAGTCAATGAACTTGTCACGAAAGAGAAAATCGATTGTGATTTCGTGCTAACCAGAGCTTTGGACGTGTATCTCGATGACGAACATTCTAAAGCGACGAAAGAAGCTTTCGATGAACTTTCTACGATAGGTGTCGCGGATCTTGCTGATATTCAGTACACCCAAGGCGAAAAAGCTGAAAAGGTTTGTGATATTTACAAAACATGACTGCTGGGAATTTGCTTCCGGCTGACGATGACCAGATTTCTGGGGTCAAGGGAGTTAAGAGTTGCTATTCTTATACTGCAGGTCATATTTGGCCCTATAAGCTCGTGATGGAACTTCTCAGCAGAGCTGTCAAGAAAGGCGTGAATTTACAAACCCATAAACCCGCCACATCAGTCTCGGAGTCGGAAGAATGAGATTTTGGGGACGGAGTCGAAGCTGTAGGTTGTTTGTCAATACCTGAGCCGATCCGAATGAGGCATCACAAATGAAACTCTGCTTCTCAGCATTACCCACCCTTAGCAAAGGCGCGAAAGTTCCCGTTATAGGGGGACCCCAATGCGCAGGTGGATGGATCAAGTTCCCATACATTGCCATGTTGGTCGGAAGAATCTAATGCCGGAAGCGCCTTGGCCAAAAAAGGTCGCAGCACGCAATCACAAAGCCCAAGAACTTTTAATATCGTCTTGCTGTGCTGAATTTGATTTCGAGATGGCTCGTCCAGCGTCAAATCTTGGGCAAGTCCTTCGAAGGATGCTGTGGGTCTGGATCTCATGGCGGAGCACATGGAAACAGGCTCCCAAAGTCTCTTCTCTTCCTCCTCTTACAGAGGGACTTGCAAGCCACGTCGGTGTTCAAGCCTTCCTGTACGGCGAGCCTGAGCCGGCATGTTTCAGTGACTCCATAGGGTCCTGTCGTACCGCATCGAAGCAGGAACATCGCGCTATCCCGCTCTAAACAAGAGTGCATCGAGGCTCGATGTCAAGTGGCGTTCGCTACATGTTGATCTAGACGTGTTGGTAGAATGACTTCCATCGAGTCTACTGTCCTGTCTTTCCGTAACTCAGAGCATGCCTCTGGAGGCCGTATTCCTGGTGTCCTTACGCTCTTACAACGGATATGCCATGCTCAATCTCCTGACTCTTCACATGCTCTCAACCGATAGGGACCTCTAGGGTACGAAACTAGTCCGTTTAATAATCTTTCAGCCAACGTATAGCACTACGAATACAGCAATAACAACTGTGCATAGGCAGATTGGCGGCATCCTGGCCGGCGGCGTGGATGTGACGTGCCGAATGTCACGCTTCTATGCCACAAGCAGCGACCTGAAAAGCTTGCCATGTTTGGCAGAGGGCACTGCCAAGCTATCCGCAGCTGAATTGGAGGCAAACGCCGCTCACTCCGTGAGCAGTCCACACCCATCTGCAAAACTAGCCCTAGAACTAACACCTATCTGCAAAATGCCTACAGATCGTGTAGGTAGTCATTTTATATAGTTATCTTGGTATCTGCCCGATTCTAGGTTATTCTAACGGTGCTAGAGCGTTCTATAATTGTATATAGTAAGGGTGTTGTTATATAGTAGTATAAAGTCGCTTTTAGGTCGGCTTTATAGCCTACCGAGTCGACCCTTTACCCCCTATTTATAAGACAACTATATATCGTATGCATGTAATTTTTATATTATATAAAAGCCCGGAGTAAGTAGATTAAGACTATATATCGTATATATCTATATAGTGTTAATATAGCTAGTATTTAGTAGATACGTAGAAAGTCGGTATATGCGGCTTTAGCGGGCGTAGTAGGCATAAATCTACTACTTTCTACTTCCTATACTAACACGAGAGATTAGCTCGTTCTAGTAGTGTATCTATATATTAAGAAGCATTAAATAACGTAGTTATAAGGCCTATTAATTATTATCTAACACTTCCGGCAGCTCCGCATCCTCCTCGAGTAATAGATCTAGTACCTAACCTAACTCTATCTCCCCTTCTATCTCGTATAGCTACGACTAAGAGCTAAGACCTATAGACTGTGTATACAACACCTCATTGTCGCTATTAGACTCTTCTTTAACAAGGTCTTCGGCCGTACGTTACCTCTATATCTCCTTAGTAAGCAAGGTAAGGTCCTTTAGCCTTATTCTTAATAGAAATAAGGACCTATAGTGCTACGAGTCTAATAAGTCTTCCTTATTAGATAGCGCTTAGTCGTCTACTTCTATACTAATTAGCGAGTCGTTATTCTCGAAGAAGGACAACTACTAGCTATAGCGACAACTTCTATTAAAAGTAGCTTCTTCTATACTCTTATCCTTTGTAGATAACTAAGCCTAATTGCTATCTTCTAGCAATACTCGTTGGTCTAATAGCAACGTATCTACTAGTCTAAACCGAGCGGCCTTCTTCCGGCGTAGTAGCTTCGAAGGTATAGTAGTAGCGAAGTAAGGATATAGATTACTAATAGACTCGTTGCTACCTATTAAATTAGCTAATTTAAACACTTTCAATAGAGCCTTATCTTCTAAGTTATTAGGCAAATAGCGGCTAGCACTAGCGCTATATTTAACTAGCCTTAACTCGCGCCTCTTAGGTTAGAAGACCTTCTTAATCGGACCTTGTTTGCAACAACTAGTAAGCGGTCCGGTCTTATAGACACTACCTAGAAGCAACGGTAGAAATAGCTTAAGTAGTAACTATAAGGTACGCCTAAGAAGGGGCTTCTTCTTATCCTTATTGCGGCCTCTTCTAGTTACTATAGTGCCGATTGTCTTCCGCTAGCGCTTACAATAGACCTTCTACTACTTCCTTGTCTTCGCCGCCTTGCTATTAACCAACTTCTAAGCCTTCTTAATAGCTAACAACTCGCGGTAAGCTATCCGCGACTAGACCTTATAAGTATAGGCTATTCTAATCTTCTACTATTTGCCGGTATTAGCTTTCCGTACCTTGCGTGCCTTAGCAGCTATCTCTATCTCTAAGAGGTCGTAAAGGGCTTATACTCTAGTATTAGTATAGAATAGCACCGAAGACGTTATGCCTTCGAGAAGACCTTGTATTAGTAACGATAGCGGTCTATACCTGTTTAATCGCTCGTTAAGTACGTTAACCTGTCGCTTTATAGTGCGGATAGTTAAGGCTAGATTAAATAGGCTTATATCTACTAGAGGCGGCAAATCTAGTAGGTGTAAGACCTCGAACAGCTTGCCTATTTCGTAGGCCTCGCAGAGCCTGTCTAGGTCCTATACTAAGAGGTCCGCCTTCTCGTTAATTTTACGCTTTATATAGGCGACTATATACGTACCGTACTCGTCTCGGAGGAAGTCGAGCGCTCGTTAAGCGCTTATAGGGGCAATTCTAGTCTTCCGGAAGGCCGAGCGAATGTTGTCGCTTTTAAAGGTCTTCCGCCGGATAGTGTTAATAGCGTCTATAAACTAAGTTACCCTAAATTCGCCTATGCTAAGCCTAGTATATTATATTACTGCCTAGCGGTAGTAGTGCTTATACTAGTAGACCTAGAATAAGACTATATCTAGTAGCTATAGGAAGTGTAAGGTATATAGTAGAAGGGTAAAGATTAGAATGCGGTGTTTCCAAGCGAAGTTAATAAACTTAAAGAACTCGTAGCTTCTAAAGTTGTCTATTATTAGAAGCCGATATTAGCCTTTATTAGTAGGCCTTATTAACCTCTCGAAGTGCTTAATCTAGTAGAAGGCAAACTCGTCGTTTGTTAGGACTAAGAGGTTATACGTAATTAGTATGTAACTAGGCTCGAGTAAAGCTAGGGTCTTAATGCCTTAGGTAGGGCTTGGCGCTTAGCAGTAGGCTAACTTGCCTGCCTTCCTCCCTCTCTTTCTAGCTCCTTATCGAATACTACCTGTACCTACTACTACCCTATCTACCTACTAATATAACCCTTCTTATATAGTATTCGATCTACCCTTTAAGGGCAGTAGCTAGATAGTTCTTATTTCAAGCTTTTAGCGGTATAGCTACGAACAAGACTAATCTAACTATATTGCGCCCGAAGAACGGGACCTATACCGTATACGTACTATTCTATCGAAACAACCGTACTAATTATTAAGCAAGGCCTTCTATACGGCCTATTACACTAAGTTAAGCATACTAGACCGATATCTACTAATTCCGCTATATCCGTATCTTAGAGGCTAACAATATATTATTAGTGTTACCTCCTATTACAATAGCCGGCTTATTACGAAGCAACAACAACCGTGCTACCGCTAGCAGCGCTAGTAATAACAACGCTAGTAGCATAGTTCCCGCTAAAGTGCCTACTAAAGTGCCTCCTACTAAAGAGCCTACCGGAGAGCCTATTAAAGAAGAACCTACAATTCTAGGTAATAATCTAGAATTACCTGTTAACGACATTCTTAATAACATTGTCAATCGACGATATAGCTAGCTAGCCTTTAGCCCTTAACTAGTAGGGAGACTTTAAGAAGCTACTTAAAATAGACTTACTGCCCTACGTTAAGAACAATAGCTAAAGGATAATCTCCTCGAGATTCGCCGTCTATAGGAAGCCCTAACAACTAATACTAAGCCGATAGTAGGGCCTTCCTTACTACCCGTCCCTATCGAAAAGAAGGATGCTAAGCTTAAGGACTATACCGTATTTAACGGCTCTAGTCGCAAGCAATATAATAATTATATACGCGATTGTAAGCTTAACTAACGAAATGCGCCGAGGGCTCTTCTAGATAACTATTTACTAGTTGTCTACGCTATACAGTACATTAATAGCGATCTAAAGCGTACCTAGGATAACCATTTCGACTCCCTTACTAATCAGACCGCTATTTAGTAGCAAGACTATAAGACTATTATGCTAGACACCCTTAGAAACCCTATACTAAGGCAATAACACGCTTAGGACTAATACCTTCGAGCTAAACAAAAGACTAATTAATCGGCTCGCTTATTTAAGGCCTATTTAAAGACCCTCGAGGACGATTTGCTAGCTAAGACCGACTCTATCTAGATTTCCGAAATACGCCCTAAATTGCGATAGGAACTTATCCTCGAATTAGACCGTCGCCGTATATTCGAACAAGCTAACCTAATACGTATTCAATTCATAGTCGAAGTAGAAATAGCCGAACGAGCTGTTTAGCTTTAGCAACGACTAGAATTAAGGATCCGACTAGCTAGTACTAACCGTAGCAACCGTAGTAGCCGCGGAGGAAACTAAGGTTCCTACTAGGACAATAATGCTAATAATAGGAATAGTAACGATCGTAGAAGAGGCCGTAGCCGGCGGCTATATAGAGGAGGCCGTAATAGGGGCCGTAGAAGGGGCTCGTATCCCTATAGTACTAACCGCTTAACTAATAACAATAGCTACGGCAGTCTACTAACCGGGTTGAAGTGCTTTAATTGTA